TATGATAGCTTACCAACTTTTGCATATTTTTCCGTCATGTGTCACATGCGGTACGTGCTTCCGGTTTCAGAAATGATAGCTAAAATTGCAAGTATATTGGTTATTTCTCGTAAACTGCATTATTTTGCTATTGAATGGTTTACCTAGAATGTATATCAGTTCAGATTTTGCATATCATCCAATATTTGTCATTTTTCGCAGTATTTGTTCAACTCAACAAATCGCGAGTTAGGCCACGCCCAAACGTATCACTGACGTTTGTCGGCTTGTCAATGTGTCCGAAAGTTTATCAAATGAAATCATTTGCAAACTCTTTAAAAATGATATATATTTCTTCCAAAGATTTATACATACGTGTCAATAATTCTAGAAAATTAAGTTAGATGTAACAAAATGATTGTAATAGTCTAAAGGGATAACTATGCATGTTGAGTTGTTTGTTTACCGCCGTTGCCATGATCGTACAAGTTCCATCCAATCGATGATGTTACGATTCAGATTGTTTTTGTTTACAATTAGCTACACCGAAAGTTGCTAATTTTTAGAAATTATGGAACATGAGTGTTTTCCTTTCGTCAGCAAACAAAAAATTATGATCGAATAGGAGTAATGATGAAATCATGAAGAAAATATCAGACTGCATGCCGCTCAACGTGAAGTGCCAAAAGTCAACAATGGCCGTTTCTGGTAGTTGTGTGCCGAGAAGTTTGACCGAAATTTTTATAACTCGCGATATTTTCTTTTTGAGGTAAATAAATGATTGAAAGTTTTGATATTGAGCAAGCTGAGCATTTATGCATGTCATACGTAATTTAAATGTTACGCAAAGCCTTCTTGGTAAATAGATATGGCGAGTTTTATTTTGGGGTGTCGTTATGCTGTTCGCCTGTCGAATGGGTTCGACATTAGATGCACGGGAAGTGACACCTCTGTCGAATGGGTTCGACGTTAGCGTGCAGAGCTTTAACCAATCCTTGGCCACATCTTTAGATACCTTAGCTGCAGTGGCTAATTTTTGTATTGCTCCTATACCTTTCCAATATCCTCGTGGGCTATAGTAAATTTTATTCATTATTAATTAATATTGATGTTTCTTTTAATACGACTTATGACGATAGTTGAATCGCATCATCATTTTGACATAAAAAATTCCCTCTGTAGTGGTGGCAGAGGTATATAAATCTGGCTCCAGTGGAAGTGGTCCAGAACCATCATTACCTTTACTACTTGAGAACTGTAACTTGAAAACTGCTGAATGGATTTTTTTCAAATTTAGGGAAATTTCCATACTAATAGAAGAGGTGCAGTGTAAAGTTTGATTTTGGTATTTGGTTTTTCTGCGAAAATATGAATTTTTATATCTTTTAAACTTCAACATTTGTGAACAACTACGTGGATTCTTATCAAATTTAAGGAACAATTTCTATGCTAATAGGAGAGGTGCCGGGGAAAGTTTGATTTTAATAGGTGTCGTTTCTGAATTTAAAAAAAAAGTTTCTTGTTTTGAACTATTTTGAAATATTTTTATACCCCAAACCTAAAAGGGCGGGGTATATGGTTGTGCCAAGGAATGTTGTCCGTAGGTCCATCCTTCCGTCTGTTGATCTTCTGAAAAAACACATTGTTTTTTACTTTTGGCCTGCAAAATATTGTGAAACCTGATAGTTGAAAACTACTTGCATGGATGGTTTTCACATTAGATGCAGTGACAAGATATGTGTGATAGAAGCAGTGCCAAATGTTATTTTCTCTTTCAAAATGTGTTATTGAACATATGTACTGTTGAACATTTAAACAATTTCAGACAGTTCTTCATGACAACCAATTTCTACAAGACACAAACTGTCATATATATGCTAGGTTAAATTCCTAATCCTTAAATTTTAAGGAAACACATCAAAGACGAAGATTCTTTTTCGGAGAATTGTACTTAGCTAAGAAAATAATTATTCAAAACATAACACAGCCCATTTGATGGTGTGAACAATGGATGATGTTTTATTATATACCTAATTGTGAAAAACTGAGTTCTCTGAAGTTGAGAAAAGTGATATTTTCATTGCAGTGAACATAACAATTGATATTTCACTGCAGTGAACATAACAGTCGATATTTCACTACTGTGAACATTACACTTTTACGGAACTATTATCATACAAGAGTGACCTCCCCTCTAATTGTCTCCCTTTATCATACGTGTCTGGCCCGTTCACAAACTGTTAACTTCCTTTTTACATTAGTTACTCATTGACGAGGCAAAATAATGACAGATGGTCATTTATGTAGTTAATATCGCTTCAAGGTGTTTGGTATTCTCTCGAAAATGTTCCCTTATAAACTGTAAATTTCTCATTTAACTCTTCAATCCAGACAGTTCATTTGCAAAGCGCATTTTTCGTTACTTGACTAGACCCGTGAAGATCGTGGGTAGAATAGTTCTTCAGCAACCCATGCTTGGCATAAAAGGTGACTGTGCTTGTCGTAAGAGGCAACTAACGGTATCGGGTGGTGTGGCTCGCTGACTTGGTTGATGCATGTGATCGATCACCAATTGCATGGACTGATGCTCGTGTTGTCAATTACTGGATTGTCTGGTCTTACAGACCGCCGTCATATAGCTAGAATATTGATGAGTGCGGTGTTAAACAACAAACCAAATCAAAACGTTACTTGACTAGCGTTGTATTCTTTCGCTTCCAACAGTGGCCTCGAAGTTTTCAAGAATATTTTTTGTTAAAGTTGATTTAGTATATGATCATATCTATACAGTATTTTTGCGGCCCAAAATATCTTTTCTTTCTTTTGTTTATATTTTTTGGTGATTTTGCAAACACGATACTACTTTTTAGGCGCAAATACAAGGGTGGTGACCTGTCCCTGTATGTGAGGTAGGGAGAATTTACGTTTCAAGGTTTTACATTTGTAATGAAATAATTAATTTTCCAATAGACAACTACACAAAAAGTATTATCGTGACAGGGGGAAAAGGAGATATTTTCACTGGTGGCTACACCACTCATGAAAATATCTCCTTTTCCCCCATCACTCGATGAGAGATACATGATATTTCACTTGACACATGAAATATCCTCTGTATATCATATTGTTACAAAATATGTAGCATCATCATATTGCTTCAAGTGACCATTCAGCATTTAGGAAACATACAGCACAACTGATTTTAGAATCTTTTAACAACTACCTGATTTGAATAGGTAAAAGCAGTCCAAACATGACAAAGGATTATCCTGGGTCTTGGACTCAAGATATTCTCATATGTAATATTTTCTCTTGAAGTTCGACCAGAACTATGTTATTCACTTGGAAAGTGTTTGGATTACGTCGAAAACAGGAGCAGCCCAATCATAGACAATCATCTTTCATCGTTTGTTTTCTGTTTATCAAATTTGACTTTGGTCAAGCCTTCATGTTAAGGCATACCCAAAAGTATTAAAATCTGAAAAGGGGCTACGTTCAGTGTACTTGCCCTTTAGTATCACTGCATATGGCAAATAAGGCCACACTTTTTTAAATTTCTGTTTCACAGATTTATTCCAGCTTTTCCAAACAATGTCACTGAAACTAAATAACATAATTTGGTTCAAATTTAGTATTGATTTGCTTTCTTACTACATTTACTCTAAACTCTTGAAGTGTATTTTATGAATGATTTGTTTGCATTTGTTTGAGTTTTGATATGGTATGTATGACCTATATACACTTTAATATTTTTAGTTATTTTTTATCAATTTGTCTGATGTAGATGGCTACTTGGATCTTGGAGCTTACACTTGCTCTAGTTGTGAATTTTTGTAAAAGGTACTTAGTATATTGCCAGGAGATGGAGTGGTTGGGATTGTTGATAATATGTTCTGATAGGGCTGATTTCAGGTTTGATGTCTCGATGAAGGACTTGTGACCTTTAGGGCATATGTCTGCAGTTTTTCCACAATCCCACTGTGTTTCGTACATTAATTTCTTTCTACTGCTGAAACTTTGCAAGGATAATCTAATTATGTAAGCTATTTGTTTAAAACTGTTTGTTAATGAAATTTGGTACATATGGAGGGTAGTGGGACTTGTGTTCCATTTTTAAAGTTTTACCCTGATACATCCTAGGCACTTTGACCATGATCCAGAATTCTTCCAAAATGCTGTAAACATCAACTCACAGAAACCACCTAAAGGGACACAACGTCGTTTCTGTGTGTTTTTAAATCATGCATAAACTAATTTCCGAGTGTGACATCATACATACCTTTAGTTCCTGCCTGATCCAATTCTCAAACCAAAACAATAGAGTTTCACACAGTGAAGTCAAAACCCATGCATGCACTGTGCAGAATAAACTGGCTACAGTCAAACAATTTGGAGGCAAATTGAAGAGAACGCTTGAGTGATATTCTTATGTAAGAGTTACAAAATACTAATTGCCTGCTTGATTAGATTATAAGCCAGTGTTTGTCAAAGCCTAGATTACAATATAAATATGCCCTAGTTGTATGAAGCCAATCATGCACTCTCCTATCCAGAGTTCCTTAATTGTGGCCAGCCTGGTACCCACAAGCTGTCACATCGTCACATGCTACACAATCCATCTGTTTAATTTTGGAGGAGTCTACACATTTCAATGACCATATGTAATGGAATGTTTATCTTTCTTTGAGAAAATATCCTAAAAAGTGAAAAACTATTTCCTTTGGCGTATGTATATATATCCACCACGTGGAATAAGTGCATTTGTTTACAAGCAATAGAAAAGTCTGGTCACTTGATAAGCCTGCACATGGTTTGGACACTGGAGCATAGACTTCTCTCACTTGGGGGAAAAAGCGAGCAAAGCAGAGTAAGTTCGGGGGTTAACAGTTACTATTTACAAACAGTGCTTCAGAACAGTTGACATTCTGGGCCTTTAATTTGTTTATCTTAATTTCAAAGGGGGCTTCACATTTCTTAATATATATATTTGTTATATTATTTTTTTTCAATTTTCATCTCAGTCAAGGGCAGCATTAGAAGGGGAAAATGCCTCATTGACAGAGACCATAACACGATTGCAAGAAGACATCAACAACTCTGAGAACAAGCGATCCACCCTTGAAAATGATATGCGACATCTCAACCAGGAGCAGAATAACTTCGTGAAGAAGTTGTCTCATGCAGAGGCATCTTTAGAATTGGTACAGAAGGTAAGATTACTGAGCAATGAGTATTTGCTTTGTAGAGAAAATGATTTGTAAAATGGGATAAAGGTGTAGTACATATTTAAAATGTTCTGTTCAATAGAACCAGGAATCCTCTAATTTCTAATTATCCAATCACTGTGAATAAAACATAATCACTTTCCTGTTACATATTGATATCATTTTAGCGTATCTGATTAAGTATACATATAAAAAGTGTAGCACTGCTCCAAATTCATTCTGCAAATGGCAAAATAGGCAAATAAGGAGCTTTTATGGTGAACATTATATCACTATTATCTAAATTTTGGCAAAGTGACATGTGACTTCTGAAAAAGTGAAAGCTGGGTAGCTTTGCACAAAGCAGTCGTTTGTCTTATGTGCGTGTAAAACTGGAGTAAGTTGGACATACTGAACTAGGGTCATGTTACAAAACGAGTGGAATACTATGTATGGGCTTGGGTGGTGTAAATATTTGAGGAAGCAATAAAGATTGGGCTTCATCTAAACACAAATGAGCTAGCCACAAACATGTGTAGGCCAGAACATGTATTCTGTGACAGGTCGAACTCCCTCAACTATTTGGACGATCAAGACATCATCGAGAGGTACCACCTTTCACAACACATGATATATTCTATTATTGATCAAGGGAGTGGAAAGCAAGCGTTCCCAAGCCAGACCACTTAACCCTGCCTGCTGGATTAATTTTAGCTTAAGGCACTGTAAAGAGGGTGGGTGAACAGTCAAGGCTTCATTAAACATGGGACGAATGAACCAATATTTCACACATTTATTACTGATAGAAAATACACATTAACATTTTCAAACATACAGAGGTTAAGACAAGAGCGAAAATAAAATAGTGAATTTTCTTGAACTTACCTGAATTACGTGATTGAATGTAGAATGCGTTTCATGTTAGGAACCTGTTTAGTCGTTATATTTTTCCTAACTGATTTCAATACCCATATCTTTGATATCTGACATCTAAACTTTTACTGAGATGAAATTCATTTTTTTTTATCAGCAAACAACAGCACGATGGTAATTATGAATCATTTCAGTCAATTCAATATGCAAACGTTAGACAAAAATACAAACATAATTTTCCAGGTAATCATGTCATTTGCTGAAATGAGAATATAAGGCCTATATTACAATGTGTCATGTTATAAAAACTGCAGGATACAGTAACTGACTTATAAATATTCACCAATCTTTATTTCAAAAGTTTTGGTTGAATGCTTCGTAGTCATTTTTCTTTGCGATTTATTGTGTAGCTGTCTTATATTAATTAATTAATAATGTAAAAATGGGAGAAAATGTTGTACATCAAAATAGATTTGTTGACATGCTGTTTCTGGTATTAAAATGTCAGTAGTAATGTTTTCACAATCATAAATGTTTACTTGAATAATATAGACCTCTTTCTAAGCAGCTGTATTTTCTCTATGTGTGTTCTGCACAAGAAAGTAAGAAGTCTTCATAGCTTCATAGATCATTTGGGGGCACAGATGGCCCAGTTGTCTGAGGTGCTGTAATTAGCTGTGCAGAGCTGCCTCCCTTGGGCAAGCCAGAAGCCCATGATTGTGGGTTCGAATCCCAGTTCGCCCTGATTATGTTTCTAGGTTTGTCAACACCATACCTGTGCTTGTGGGTTTCATCGAAATGGTAAATATCTTGAGACCGGCATCACTTTGGGCTTTCCTCACACATTAAGCTGACACGCTGTGATATAACTGGAATACTGTTAAAAGCAGCATAAAATCCAACTCACACACTCATAGATCATAGTGTTCAGAAATGTGTATAGTAAAGTATATATCACTTGTCCTTACAGACGGTAGCTCAGTCTCTTGTCTCACTCAGTTGTGTTAGCCAGCCAGTCAACAGTTTGTGTAAAGGGGCATTCACACGGTACAACTAGTGGTATACAACTTGTTGTATGCAATTAGTTGCACAAACTGAAGTTGTATACAACTCGGCATTCACACAGCGGCGAGTTGCATACAACTCGGATCTCGCGAGATCTCTGACAAAAAGCTTGTGATTGACTACATTATCGCTGGAATCTTGGTTGCCGAGTAAATGTTCAGACGCATTGCTTTGAAAAATCAATCGAGAATTGCGGTCGTGCAGTACTGGACCAACCTCTGACTTTGCAATTTAACGGACTTGTATATTATTGAATTTTTAACCCCATGATGGAAAATTAAATGTATAACGTGACACATTCGATACGAAAACGTACTTGTTTTGTGTCGAAAACAAATTTTCTGTTACATGATGTCAAAACACGAGGGCAATGCCCACATGTACAAAGACAAAAAAACACTGCAATTCCTAGTCATTGCAAAACTCAGTATCCGTCATGTCCGTGGTGAGCATCTGCTTTGGCTCAGGACAATATATTCTAGTATCTTTTTGTTTATGTGTATCTACAAAGTTCCCACACAGCTATCGATTTTAATAACCACATCGGTTCCTTTTCTGGGACATTGAATGATTGTCATCCAAAATGTCCTGAAGACGTATTTCAGATTTTGTTATAATATAGAAGAATGAACTATAAAAATCCTGAAAGTGCCCTTTGGCCAGTTGAAATCAGATACTTTTAGCTTATTTCCCAATTTATAAGAAACGTTGAAATCGGTAACACAAAAAAGTAACAGTATATTACCAATTATATTATGGTTATAGTATGGAAAATTTCGTTTAAAAGAACAGAATGTTGGGCTTATCACTACAACAGCTCCACAACCCCTCCACCCCCCAGCAACGCACACCCAAACCCCAACAGACCATGACCCACTTCCCATGAATCTCAAATGGTCGGCCCCTATTTTGAAACGCGCACCTGATGCAATCTTTAGCTGTCAATGTTCTGCCAATTAAACGTTAAAATCCAAATGTAAGACAAATAGTTGTCCACACATGAGTTACACATTAATAAAAATATAACGTGACAAATTTCCTTCAGGTATACATTTAATTTAACTTAAGAAATGAAGTGCCTGATCTATATAAATTTGCCACAATGAATATTTCACACTTCTCCAAAGGAAATATGTACATGCTGCAGTGTGTTACATTCACATAGCATCTTATGGGAAGGATAACACGATGAATGTCTATGACCAAACAAACAGCTGATTAGTATGAGTTTCATAAATTCTATGGCATTTTAGATTATATTAGTAACAGTACTGCATACATGTATCCATTTTGCAGCAGTGCATTATTTTGCTGGGTGAAACGATATTGAAGAGATATTTTTAAATTATAATTCAAGATTGAAACAGTAAACTACTTCATGAACTGAATGCGTTGTGTACTAGTTCACCCGCACCTCAAAGAAAATAACAAATATGTACAACGATGTTGATGCTGACGTATACTAATATGACATCACTACCGGTAACCTCCCGTCATAACGTAGCGAGTTCACTTACAGCAGTACGCGGAATGTTTGGAGTAGTTTTACCGTGATGCTGGGATCACATACATACATAAATGGGTCATGTAAGTTAAGTAATCAGAATCAATCTGAAATCAACAAGTTCTGTTTGTTTTTATGTTTCCATTCTCGCCTTGATACTACGTTGAAAGGCAGACCAATACCGTCGTCTGTGTGCGTGATTTTGCGTCAATCATGGCGGCACGTTGAACGATTTCTGTTGACTTTTTTCAAATAAGTATCTGGACTCATCGACCCATGCATATTCGTAATAAACTGAGCTAATGTATGCAACAAATTGACAACCGAATCTCTCGGAATAGTAAAATGTTAAGTAAAACTAGAAGTTTGCTTTGTTTACATTTTTAAATGAGAAGGCCCACTGGTAGGTTTCAGAGCACAGGGTTTGGTTTCACACTTGAATATTGCGGTTGATTTCATTTGGACCGTTTGTATTAGTGACTTAGACAAAGTGTCAATTGATTCTTAATGGTATGATGAATTCAGAGATGTATGTATGGTAGCTGAGTGTGAAATACATGTGATGTGACAGGCATCTCGCCTGACGCGAAAAGAGCTGTGATTTTGCAATGCTATCCAACATGGAGGTTCGGTCCAGAGTTTTTATATTTCGAAAACGAATATAGGGTTATTGGAGTCTTTTTGGAATGATGATTGGTGTTTTGACAAAGGGAAGACACCCAATGGTTTTGTAATGGAACTTCTCATGTAGCTATAAGTTATTTGAATAAATAATCACATTTAGAACAGTGAATTGGTAAAATGCGAAAATGGCATTTTTTTCGTTGTACACTATTTTCAGATGTCGTTAGTGATACATATGCTTTGGCTAAAATAGTTGTGAACGGCATCATATTATAGATACTTTCCCACAGAATCTAAAACTGTGACGTGTATTTGTGTGTATGATGTATTTTAAGTTTTAGAAACGTATTATGGACCTTATCTCATCTTGGTCTACACTACAGTGAACAGTCACATAGCCATCGTCGTTTCAAATAACACCATGAACAGTTTAACCAGGAGAATTAGACCGATGCAAATGTCAAAATATATAATTTGGTACAGTGGTATTCTACGTACCTACTTTTCATAGGTCCTTTATTGAGTGGTGACACTTAGGATACCGAAAAACTGAGGTTACCGACGTGAATCAGAGTCGCCATTTTTGTTTACAAATTGACCTGTAAATGTCACGTGATTTTCATACGCGTATTGATTGGCTGCGTTCATACAACTTGTCGCATGAAAATAGAGCATGTACAACTCGTGTCCAACAAGTTGCATACGTCAAAAGTTGGACCGACTTGCCCGTTCACACGATGCAATGTGTTGCATGCAACAAATTGTATACAACTAGTTGTACCGTGTGAATGCCCCTTAAGACAGTCAATCAATAAGTACTACTTCCCAAAAAAAATTGAACACAGAAATGGGATCAAAATCAATCTCATTCTAGGTCCTTTACATTATTCTTGTGAAGTTCCTCGATGCAAGACAGACAGCACTATAATGTAGACATGGGTCAAGACTAAGACTGGCTTACTGGAATTTCCAACAATTTAACAAGACAAAACAAGTAAAGAGATGGTGTTACTAATAGTTACACTAAATGATACTGTTATTTTCAATAATAGATGAAAGAGCAAATTGAACAAGAGAGGAACCTACTGAAAGTGGAAGTGGACCGGCTGCAGCAAAAATATCAAACTGCCCATGATAAGTTGGTGGAGTCCCAGGCACGGGTGTCAGAACTGGTTGCCCGCATAGAGAGGGCAGAGCAGAGTTCCCTTGTCAGTAATCAGCAGTTGGTTCATACTTCAGCAAACATGCAAGCCTTTTCAAAATCAAAGGTAACTGACAATTAAATCCTCCTTGGGGCACTTACTGCATTTTCCTTGCTCAAGAAAATCTACATGACATAGTTGTAACCATTTTCCTTAATAAAAAATGTTACCACACAAAAAACTTTGTTTTTGTATGATATACGACCACCCTTACAGGGCCTCATCCTCCACGGCTTGTCACGCCAGGGGGTGCAAATCTCACCCAAATCACTTTCCTTTATGTCATACGACTGACAAGACGTTTTGATTTTTCAAGAAAAGTTTCAACAACGAAATCGTTCACTGAGACACCATGACCGACCAAACTGTATGTATGGTACATTTCTTTCCTTGCAAAGGCGCAATACCTCGCATTGTAAAGTTATAGTGTTGTAATTCTAATAGAAAAACACGCCACATGTACGATACATTTGAATTCAAATGGAGATGGAGGAGGGAGGAGATGACTCGGAGGCTTCGGGGACATTCTCCTTCGCATCCTCGTTGAGGCACATACGGGACAAGATTGTCTAGGTACTGCCTCAGGTGGCCGCGCCCATGCCCGCGTCGGATCCGACTGAGTTCCGCCTTCCGGGGGACGCCTTTGCTCCTAGCAAGGCGCCCCAGGTGCAGCTCCGCATATTGTCCTCCTTGGCACACGAGGTCATCGAACCTCTGCTCTCGGGTGCCCGCAGGAAGTTCGACCTGCCCGAACTCATTAAGCGGTACCCGTTGGCAGAGGATGGTGATTTCGAGGTGCCAGTGGTAGACGAGTGCGTCTGGACTTCTGGCACCCTGGGGGTGTCTTCGACCCCAACCTTGGCTAAGGCCAAGCAGGGCTGGCGGTTGCCCACCTTTTCCATGTGCGGTGCGAAGTTGAAGGCTGCATACGTTTGCTTCGAGGAGCAATACTGTAATGCATGCCTACAGCTTCGCATATCCGTACACTCCGCCTATCTGTCTGCTGTACAGAGGAAGCTAGTGGGGGAGGGGCCGGCTGACTCTTCGGAGTTGGCTGCGCAACTGACAGAGGTTCATAGTCATCTCGCGCGGGACGCTATCCGTAGCTGTGCCTCGCAGATATTGTGCGCTGTTATGGGCATGCGCAGGCTGTGGATGTCGGTATCTAAATACTCGACTTCCACACGCCAAGACCTCCTTGCTCTGCCGTATAAGATGGGTGCCACCCTCTTCCCTGGGGCTCAGCAGGTGGTCTGAGAGGCCGCTCAATTTTATGCTTCCATCAAGGACTCTAAGGCCTTGTTGGAGGTACCAAGCGTTAAACCGCGTAAGCGGACCACTCTGCTTGACTCTTCCTACGCTGATGTGACGGGACAGAAGTCCACACCTACTTGGAAGCAGCTGCTTCCTTCAGGTAAGGGCGCCAGGAGGAGCAAGCGAGGCAGGGGCCAGGAAGCCATCGGGTTCCCATTAGCGCCCGAAGAGCCCCGGTAGGACCCACAGTCGCAAGTTATCGAACTGCCGACAGCTGGGGTCCACTGCCTCAAGCCGGATGTCCCCATAGGTGGCCGACTGGCTCTATTCCTGAAGGAATGGGAGACAGTTACATCCAATCCCTGGACCCTGTCCACTCCAAGGGATGGCCATTTGCCTCGGTGAAAACATCATCCGCCCCCCTTCTCCGGGATAAAGCACACTCTGGTGCCTGCTACCCGAGAGAAGGCGGAATTCCTCCGTGCCGAGGTCGACGCACTTCTTATGAAAGCTGCGATCGAACCGGTTCCAGTGGGACAGGAAAGCGAGGGCTTCTACTCGACATATTTCCTAGTCACCAAAAAAGACGGAGGGTTCAGGCCTATTCTCAATCTGAGAAGGCTGATGAACAAACTTATAGAGGTACCGTCCTTCACGATGGAGACACTGCGCTTAGTCATCTCAGCTGTCGAGACAGGAGAATGGCTAACGTCAATAGACCTAAAAGACACCTATCTACACGTACGAGAATGAGACCCATACACCCCGAGTTCAAGAAATTCCGGGGGCGGTCGGGTAGCCTAGTGGTTAAAGCGTTTGCTCGTCACACCGAAGACCCGGGTTCGATTCCCGACATGGGTACAATGTGTGAAGCCCATTTTCTGGTGTCCCCCGCCGTGATATTGCTGGAATATTGCTAAAAGCGGCGTAAAACCATACTCACTCACTCACTCAAGAAATACCTGAGGTTTTCTTTCGACGGGAGGTGTTATCAGTTCAGGGTTCTACCATTCGGGATCTCCACGGCTCCGAGGGTGTTCACAAAGCTGATGTTGATTCCAGCCCAAGTGGCCAGGTCGAAAGGTCGGTTCTGCCATCCGTACCTCGACGACTGGTTACTAAGAGCTCTATCGCAATCCCTGAGTCAGATAGCTACACAGGAAGTGATAGACATTCTGATCACTCTAGGGTGGATAGTCAATCTCAAGAAGTCAGATCTGAGCCCTACTCAGAATCTTGTCTTCTTAGGGGCGAACTTCAACACAGTGAGCGGACTTGTATCTTTCTCACAAGATCGCATAGTCAAGATCAGAAGTGTTACTTCCCAGTTCCTTCCAAAAGACACACTGCTCGTACATTGCTCCAGTTTGGCGGGCGCGTTTGAGAATGAGACCCATTCAACAAGCGCTCCGTCGACTTTGGGTGAACTCGGAAGATCTCGAGACTGTTCTCAAGACTCCGCAGTTGCTCATTACACACCTTCAGTGGTGGACCGAGGTGGGGAATCTGTCCCGGGGGCTCCCCCTCGCCACTCCCATTCCGTCTCTCACAGTTCAAACAGACGTGTCACTCTCTGGCTGGGGAGGCGTTCTGAACGATCACACTGCCTCGGGACTATGGTCCCAGCAGGAGATCAAACTGCATATCAATGTGCTAGAACTGAGAGCGGTCAGGTTGGTGTTCAAACGCTTCCTGGATCTGCTTCGTGGCCAAGTGGTTCGTCTAGAGATGGACAACCAAACGGCGATGACGTACATCCGGAAGCAGGGAGGAACGGTGTCTCCGTCGCTTCTCCAAGAGACGTGCCAGTTCCTACTATGGTGCGACTCTCACGATATCAGGGTGCTACCTGTTCATCTCCCGGGGGTGGACAACGTCCATGCGGACGCTCTGTCTCGCGGGATCCTCGCTCCTCACTAGTGGAGGTTGACCCAGGGATATTCGGGATTATCTCCCTGTTATACGGGTCGTTCAAGGTGGATCTGTTTGCGTCTGGGGTGAATCACCAGACACCAACGTTCTGCTCCCGAGTCCCCGACCCGAGGTTGGTGGCACTGGACGCCTTCCAGCTAGATTGGACGAACAGAGTTCTGTGGGCATTCCCCCCAGTACCTCTGATTTCCAAGGTCCTGTCTCAGCTAGCCACTCAGCTAGACTACTTGTGCTCCTGGCACCTCTTTGGTCGGCGCAGCGTTGGTTTCCAGTAATACTCAGGTTTCTGGCTCAGCCTCCTACGACCGGACCTCCTATCCCAGAACGGGGCACTCCACCCGAATCCCAGGATTTAGTCGGTGGCTTGGCCACTGTCAGGAATCGCCTCCAGAAGAGCCGTATGCCTGCACGAGTTGCAGACACAATACTGGCCTCGCGGAGGGATTCGACAAACGTTCAGTACGAGGATAGATGGTTCTGCTATGCGCACTGGTGTGTCGATAGAGGGATTGCAGATCCCTTTTCTGCAGATCTCGTAGCCGTGCTTGAGTTCCTCCAGTCACGACTAGACGACGGCCTGGCCGCATCGACAGTCCGGGGGTACTCTACAGCTATCGCAGCTTTTCACGTCTCTCTCGATGGGGCACTTCTGGGTGCGCAACCATTAGTGCAGCGCTTTTTAGCAGGTGTGGACAGGATCCGACCGCCTTGGGACTTGTCAATCGTTCTTGATTGGCTGTCCGGTCCTTCCTTTCGGGATCTCTCGTCTCTCTCTCTTCAGTTTTGAGTTCTCGAATATGATCAGCCACAAATAATGGATATTTCATAGTATATGGTCGACCACGCCCTGTCTCTAGCCCCCGCCTCTTGATGGTGGTGCCTCACGATAAGGTTGGTTCCATTTATTGAACTCTTGTTTATTCATTGAAATAATCAAAAAACGATGTATTTATTTACGCTTGTTGCTGACGGATGCCACTTCCTAGATTATCTTTCCTATGATGCAATAAGTGCCCCAAGGAGGATTTAATCTGAAAGAGAATTTTACAAACCTGTAGAGGTTATGAATTCTCTGATGAAATCCTCCTTGGGGCACGGCCACCCACCTCCCCACATTCCATCAGCATTACACATATGTAAAGTGATTTGGGTGAGAGTTGCTTCCCCTGGCGTGACGCGTCGTGGAGGGTGAGTCCCTGTAAGGGTGGTCGTATATCATACAAAAACGAAGTTTTTTGTGTGGTAACATTTTTTATAAAGGAAAATGGTTACAACTATGTCATGTAGATTTTCTTGAGCAAGGAAAATGCAATAAGTCCCCCAAGGAGGATTTCATCAGAGAATTCATAACCTCTACAGGTTTGTAAAAAAAAATTATCACAGAAATTGATTAAATTTGCAGCAATGTTTTTTCGTTGTCAATAACTGTAACCTCTTTTTCACCACAAAAAGACTACCACAAAACAATAAAATTGATTAAATATACAACACTGGTTTCTAATAATACTGTTTTCACATGGTTTCCATCACCCTTATATAATTAGCTGATTGACAATAAGACTTAGTTTACCTCCTGTCATTTAAATTTCTATTTTGTTCAATGCTGAAGACAATAGTTTTTGTTTTGGGAACTGTTTCCCCATGTGAAAAAGAGCTCAGGTGACATGTTTTTTATTTGCTTGTAATATATGACATGTTAACTTCTCTCCTTCATTACAGGATGAAGTGGAAGAAAACTACCAAAAGTTACTTGTTGAAAATACAAGATTAGAGGCTGAATTGAAACATGAAAAACAACAATTAGAGATGCTGCACCAAGACCTGAAGGACTCACAGAAGGTAGTGAAATCCGTAGTATGTGGCATCAAGTAGTAATGAATCTGTTTAGTTCACAAGGTCCAAACGTCCAAGTGAGTATATGGTATAGCATGTTGTCCATCATCTATCCGTCATCATCGTTCTGTCTTTAGGTTCTTCTCCAAAATTTGAAGGCATGGGCATAAATTGTAAAGAGGGTGTTTAGGATCATAATGGGACTCAGATTTGCTCATGGCATTTTTTAAGTTCTGAGAAAAAGTTTTTTCATGAAAGAAATATGGCAATATAAATTCACTCTTAAACAAAATTTAGAATCTTCTTCTTTGAAACCACAGGGTCTTGGAATCTGACACTTTGATGTGATGGTTTGGAAGCATAATGTAACTTTTACTTCAGAATGCCTTCTGTAATTAGGCTGTTTTTTCTCTTGAATGAAACCTAGATCAGCAGAGCACTGCCACAGCATGAACAAAGTGGACTGCATGAGAATCATGACAGGGTTTTAAATTTCTTGTAATTCTTTTGAAGACAAAAATTCGAATTTTTAAACTTATCCTATCTCACACTATGCATTTCTTCTTATTCTTCGATCATGGTGTGGAAACGTCCTAGAACAAAGTTTCCGGATCAAAAAGCACCACTCACCCAAACACATCCCTTACATCACCAATCACCACTGTGATCATGGTTCATGCACCACTAAAATCCTGTGCGACACAACCCCAGCGACCTGATCACCTGACATATCCAGCACCCTCATTCTCAATTCTATCGCTATGGTGTTCGGACGTTATTCTTGAACAGAGAATTTTTGTTTGTTTTTTTGGTGGTTTTTTTTTTTTTTAATTATTTTTTAATATATAAAATTTAAATACACGACATCACTACTAAAGTTTACCATTACCACTAAGAGAGAGTGGTATTAATAAGGATGTCTACTGTGTACCACATTGCCAGAATTGAATCTCAACTTACTTAGTTTAGTGTTCGATAAAGGCGACTGTTCGTCGGTTCAAGGCGTTGTTTAAGGTTTTTGTGCATGTTGTTTTTCCTCAGTTTTGAAACCCAAACGATTGTTTTATCCCCTGTGGCTGTACCTTCGTTTTCTTGCTTAACAAAATAATATAGTCAATAGTCAATGGCGATGGTTACATCGCTATCCGTAGAGGAGGATCGCTTTCCGTCTCGTTTGACTGCTGTGATTCCCGCCTCTGTGGGGACCACGCCCCTCTGCACGTGCCCGCTCCCTGGCTTCTACAGTCGTCCCGCATTTATATGGCCAGTTCATCGTGTTAGACTACAGCCCTTTACTCAGCTTGGGAAGTCAAGCCGTCAACTGAGGGTTGCCTCTTCCCCCAACACGCTTGTTACTCGGGTCATCACTTCTACAGCGCTCTGAGGATACAGCTACACCTCTCTGACTGAAAACACTACAATCGTCGGCGAGGAAGTGATAGCCAACTGAGGACGGATCTTCACTCACAGGATCGTCATCCTTCGCTGGATCGTAATGACCGAGTGATCAAGGGATGATAGACGACCAAGGGATTGACAGATCGACATACTTCACCATTATCAACAAGAGGCTGATGTTGGATGGACAGTCAGATCGTACCTTGGAGGAACGACAGTTTCGCTTTTCCTACACATCGATACAATGATAAATCGACACCTCGACACATGGATACATCGACACATGGATAAATCAATTTTTACATCGATACGTTGACACATGGATAAATCGATACGTCGACACAAGGATCAACCCCATAAAGTACGAGCATGTACTTTACTGAGAAGATGTCATCCCAGATATAACTTGTTATATATACAGACGAACGACGGATCATCCTCAGTCATAAGATCGTCTTTCTTCCACGGAATCAATAGACCTCTTTCTCATCGTGCATCAAACTTCTATATGCGAATTTGGACATGGCCTTCACTGCATTCCGTTGTCTAGATCAGACAATCCAGTGATTATCATCACGAACATCCGTCTACGTCTTGGGATACGATGACCTGCACCAACCATATCAGCGAACTTGACCAACCGGTCTCGTTAATCTCTAACAGGCATAGTCACCTTGTATGGCGAGCTTGAGATACTGACGTCTCTTCTCTATTGGGATCTTCATGGATCCGGTCCACGTGCCTACCAGTCATGAATCGTCTTACGATACTCTCCTATAAGAAATCACAATTACAAGGTTATGACGGAATTGAATCGTCACTCAATCAACATCATTATCATCGACGCCCTCGTTTCAGCCTGATATTCAATTACAGGTTATGACTCTCGAGACAACGTGCTCCACCTATTCAGATTTGAATCGTCAGACAGATGACATCATCCTGAGGCTCGATATCATCGCAGCCGACCTTTATCATTGACGCCGTCGCTTTAAGACCTGATATTCCATTACAGATCATGCCGAGACAACGCGCTCCCCCTATTCAGATTGGAATCGTCAAACAAGATTTGAATCGTCAGACAGACAACATCATCCTGAGGCTCGATATCACTGCAGCTGACCTTTATCATTGACGCCCTCGAATTCAGCCTGATATTCCATATTAGTTGGCACGCCTTATCCATGGTCAACCTACTACACCATTCTAACAGACAATTCCATGGGGCAGTTCGTCGGGCTTTAATCGATACAAACGGCAGATGTTCGATGTCTGAAGATGGTTTCAAGCGTCATACGAGGATCACCTAGATACTACACCCGTTCGTCCCATATTCTACAAGGAACTGACTGCCTATACACTGGTGTTTTTCGTTACTCGGGACACCACTCGTGTGTTGGGAGCTTTGACCACGTGATGGGAAAGACTGCTGTATTTCCTGTTTCTGCGCAAGGGTGAATTACACATCACGCCGAGATTGCTGTTTGTAAACAAGACTACCATGCTGACTTTGGTACAGGCTGATCTTATGCGAGCCGTGTGAAGCATTTACAGTAGTAAACGACTATATGTACGGTCTGTCACATCTTCACAACGCCTTTTGTTGTCGCATCGATACCTGAATGCAAAGCGCTTTTTCCAGTGCTTAGACAATAGAATCCATCGTCTCTTCACCAGTTGTACACATCACCGATCAACCTGGCAGGACAAGTCATCCCTCACTTATTCAAGACGAGAGTTGGTGAATATCGGCATTTTATTTCGGTATATGATCCTAATGTTCTCCACGTCCATTCAAGGCACGGTTTCTGCTACAACCGCTCTTCCATGTGGTCCCGATTACCCTGCTTCGTACAATCAACCAACCAGTAAACTACATCTTCAGCCTCGTTTTTTCTACTAGATACTAGATCACACGCACGACCGTCACGATTTTACCATCGCTTTAGAACACAAATTTTGTGTTATGTGTGCTCGAACATCGATCTGCAGGCGAAACCATCTCAACATCAACAACTCGGAAGTTCAACGTTCTATGTATGGTAACAGCTATTACACTTTGGGCAACAGTCACCTGTCAACAGTTGGTTGGTTGGTTGTTTTTTTTGTTTTACGCCGCACTCAGGAATATTCCAGGTATATGACGGCAGTCTGGAAATAATCGAGTCTGGACCGGGCAGTCCAGTGGTTGATGTCGTGAGCACCCGATCCCGTTGGTCGCCTTTTTACGACAGGCATAGTCGCCTTTTGCGGCACGCATGGGTTGCTGAACACCTATCTACCCGGATCTTCACGGGTCACCAGTCAACAGACGACAGCTCGGACTAACACAACTGGAAGGAGAACCACCCTTCTTGTACACTACCCTTTGGAATTGCTTTGACCCATGACTATGTACACGAGTGACTAAACCAATTGCTGTTCGTCACACAGGATACTGTAATACATTTTTACCTGGACGAAGGGATTCAAGCCCGGATATCAACAATTACTCAGACTACATATTTTACCACGAAATTATTAACTCAACTACGTTGGTAAATTAATAATTAGAAATCCAACTTACAACCATTCCAGGATCTCCATTCCTTGGGATCGAGTCTAATGAGCCAGACTAACATCCTAGTACCAGAACACATTGAGGCAACGCCTCTTGTGAAGGAGAGTGGATTCGATTGTGTAAGCAGGAACTTGTTTACACAAGCCGGAATACAACATCCACGTGTTCATGGATGCCTCACTTCAAGGTCTTGGAACTCACTTCAACTTGGAAGTAACATCAGGCCTATGGTCAGAAGCACACAGCTCTACCACATCAATTATCTGGAATACGAGTCTGTAATCCGGGCAGTATTTCTCTGGACCCCACAGACAAGAAACCAATGTCTGATGATCAGGACACTCATTTCAACTGTGGCATGCACCTGCAAGGCACGATGAAATCAGAGACCCTCCTGCAGTTGACTTTTCATATTTGGTAAATAAGCTCAACTTACAGATAAAGGCAAGACACCGGGAGCGGCAAGTGGATTAGCAGACACTTTGTCCAGACCAGCCAGACTATCGCCAACAGAATGGAAGCTTCGGCCGAAGCATTCCAACTGGCATTTAGCTTCGGCCGAAGCATTCCAACTGGCAATAAAAGAAAAGGTTGTCTACTAATAATCCTATTTGCATCAGATAACATTGTGTCACCAGCTCCGGGCCCACTAGCCTGGTCAATCGATGCTCTGACGCTCTGATTCTCCACCAGCCTTGATACAATGGCTACTACAAGATTCTACACACGAGCTACCTACAACTGCTGTTGGTAGTGCCTTCTGACCGACAAAAACTTGGGTTCCAGAGATCGTCAAACTGGCAGAGATTCCACTACTAAGACTTCCAAACTGGTCACATCTACTGCTACATCCTCCCTCCAATCAGGTCCATCCAAGACCAGAATTATACGAACTTCACGTATGGAGTATATCAAGTGCAGTCTCGTAAGATGATTTCCATTAGAGCAGCTAAGGCAGCTTCCTTAGCACTTCGTCAATCAATGAGAATCTAGGTGATGATAAATGGAAAAGTTTTCATCAGTTTGCAAGATCCAGGGGGTTTCTGCA